GTTTGTGTATAAAGATATTTTTTGATTTTTTGATTTGGAAGATTAATATGTTTCTAGTAAAATATTAATTTTAATTTTATAGTTAAAATATATAAAAATAATCTAATATTTTTTTTTACTAAACTTTTTGATGCAGGTAACTTAAAATAATTTTTACAAGAAGATAATAATTAAATATATTAGTTGAAAATTGTAAAAATTTGAAAGAAGAAAGAAAATATTAAATATTTTTGTGCTTATCAATATTATCTGATCAAATTTTATAAAAAATATATGACAAGTAATAAAATTAAATATAGCAAAAAAAAAATCCAGTCAATAAGATATTTAAAAATATTAATTAAAAAGAATAGAAAAAATTTTCATATAAATTTGATATTAAATTAATAAGTATATGTATTGTTATATAGAAATTAATAGATTTGAGAAAGACTATACAATATATTGAAAATCAGTATTAGAGATCAATTATTTATGGTTACTTATAAAAATTTGAGTTCACTTACTATATTATTATTATAAATTTCAACTTTGATAATTTTTAAATTATTAATTATACAATCAAAAATTATAAAATTTATATATATTGTGTTTTAATACTTATTCTATATCTTGTATTTTTTTTAAAAAATTTTTTATTAATATATTTTAAAGTTTTATTATTATTAAATATTTTTATTTTTTTATTATTTATTATATAATTTATAATTATAGCTCAACAATCAATTTTCAACTCTTTTCACTAATCTTTTAATTATATATAAAAATGATATTTGCAAGAAATTTTAATACTTTTATGCTAATAAAGTTTTATTACAATCTTTAAACCAACTCAAGAGTTCCTTCAAAACTTCTTCAATTTCCTTTTCTCTTATCTATAATCTTCTTTAAACAAATTGGACTCTTATGGCCTACAAAGTCCAACTTCCACCTTTACTATTTATGGCAAGAAAATTTTTAAAGGAAAAAGGATCAACAGTGAAGTACCTTTCACCTCTCAGCTATAGTAGAGATAATAGAGATTATAATCTAATCAAAGGACTCATTTTTCTACCCTTTGACTAGTGTTATGACCTCTTAATACTATCTTTTTTATGGTTTTCTAGAGAATTTTACTTATTCCAGCTTGACCCTAAAATTTTGGGTAGTACAAATCTCACCAACTCTGATTGGTTAACGTAAAACACATTGGACAAAATTGATAAACAAGTTTTTATTAGCCACCTCACGTATTTAAATGTATTTCTTCAACTCCATAAGAATCTGAGGTTCATTATAAGTCATAAGTGTTGATGCAGATAGACATAAGATATGCTTCTGACATATAATTGGATACAATAAAGAGTTTGTTTGACCATGATAAAGGTCACAAGATGCTCAATTGACTTTTAGAAATCAGAATTACCTATTTCTGAGTATATGTTAGATAGGTTTCTGCTTTTACTGCTTAGAGAAGTCCAACTGAAAAAAGTGAAAAAGATAATTAGAAACACTTAATGATAAAACTAGTGCACATAGTAAATCAGGAAGTTTTTATTCTATCGTCAAAAACTCCAAGCTGGAAGATTAGAAAGTTAATACCACTATATCAATTGAAACTTGAGTCTGAAAATATCAGCAGTGACATGCAAGCCAACTGAATAATCTGGGAGATCCTTGTTAATTACTAACACCAACGATCATCAACAGGATATATCAATCATAAGGCTAAGTGCAGTCCTTCTATAAGGAATTAAATCTGAAATATATTGCATAGATGGATAAATATATCCATATTTAGATAGAAATGAATTTAATTGATGATATACTAGGAGACTTTCAAGTCATTCATGTGGATACCAATATATCACCTGGGCCTTTCCAGTTACTTCCTCTCTACAAGTCTTAAAACTGTAAAGTCTTTCTTTTTATCTCTACCTTATTTCCATAAAGACTCAGTAGAAGCACCTTTAGTTCTTTATCAAAAGGAAAATTTAAAATAGGATAGACATTTACTGAGAAATACTACAGTTACCCTTCAAAAATAGCATATAACCACTCTCTGTATTTTTCTTTTATTTTCTTTAATAATATCCACATGCTTAGTAGAATGTAAGTTTCTTTTAGAAAAAAGAGAGCAATAAGCCTTGAAGTAGTTTTAACTTATCAAATTCTTTATTTACCCTTGAATATATATCTCTATATATGTGCCTTGTGTACTTGTATAAAATATAATTTGGAAATTAATAAAGATTAGATATAAGCTTATTTAAAGAAAAAAATTTTTTAACAATAATAAAACTTTAAAATTTATATATAAAAATATTTAGAAAAAAATATAATAAATAAAACTAGTTTTAAAATAAAAAATATATAAATTTTATAATTTTTGTTTAGAATTTAAAAATTGTCAAAGTTAAAATTTATAATAAAAACATAATAAGTGGATTCAAACTTTTGGAAGTAACTATACTTAATATTGATAATAAATTATGATCATCAAGATTATTTAAAAAGTATACTTTTTTTTTTCAAGGAATTGGTAGGTTAAATTAATAATAAATTAGTTTAAAAAGAATTTAAAAGAATTTAAAATTCAAATCACTCTAGCTTTTTAATTAATATATTAGAAAAAATGTTATTTTTAAATAACAAAATCTAGTTTACTCCATATTAATTATCATATGATTCTACTAGAAACTATTTTTTATTTCAATTAAATAGATTATCTCAAGTATCAGAAGTAGTTCTATCACAAATTTGTCTTCTTTTACAATTAAATAGATATAAAAATCTGAAAAAAGAAAAACTAGTTCTTCTATTAGGCAATTACATAGATTGATAAATAACTATAAGGCAATAGATATTAATTCTACTTATTTTCAGACCTATAAAAGTGAAAATTCAGATAGAAAATTAGAAAGTTGTGCTAATAAGACAAGCTATTTAATTGGATAAATATATAAATAAACTTATAAATATTCTACAATATAATAAAAGAAGTATAGCTAATCAATTTGCTTTTTATATAAATAATTTCTATAAAAAATGAACAAAAAATAGTAAACTTGAAATAGAGTTTGCTTAGGTTTTAATAAAGAATAACAAAGTTGAAAGCAATTCTTAACAGGGATATTGATATGACTATTAATAATTAGGATAAAAATATTAACTATTCTTACTATACTATATATAGCTTCTCAAAATACAATAGTTTCAATTTTCACTAATTGTAATATTACTGTCAATATATGGAAATCTATCTAGTTACAAATAAATACTAACAAAAAGATAGATAAAGACTATCAACTAGTCAATATGGAATAAAATTAAAGACCTAATAAAAAAAAAAGATTTTACTTTGGAAATTACAAAGATTAAGGCTTATAGAATTAACAAGTTCAATAATCTGATAGATCTACTTGCTAAACAAGCTAGATATGAGAATCCAATAATCTGGAATCAACTATTAGAATTAAAAAAAGTTCTTATCATAGTAATATATAATAAATATATAATAGAGATCAATATTAAAGAATTTGTCAAAACATTTAACAAGAAAAGAATTGAGAAAAATTGGATAGCACAAAAAAAGATTCAAGAGCCATGGATTTAAAATAATAAAATTATAAATTATTTAACTTACTAGAATTAGTTCAATCTATCCAAATCTTTAATATTTCCTTTAAAGCTAATAAAAACAAAAGTTTTCTGATCAACTTAATTCACAATAAACTTTTAGTATTGCAGATATTCAAGAAAAGAAAATCAAATATTTATATTATAACAACTTGCTCAATATATGAACTTCAAGAAAAAATATTAGAACATTTTTCTGAATGTTGATTATTAAAAAAATCAAAAAAGACATATGATAAAAAGCAAAAGAAAAAATCAATCATTATATCAGTAAAGAAATCAAAAATAAGAAAGAAGTTCATTCTATAACTGATTATTGGATAAATAAATGGCTAATTGAAATCTAGCAATTTGATAGAAACCTTTTCAATACTATTTATAAATATATAAAAGAAAATAAAACCATTTTCTTGAAGAATTATCTTAAAGCATAACTCAAAATTTTTTTAGTATTTATAAGAGCATAATTAATAAACTTTGTTATAAGATGAAAAAAAACTTCAAGGAGAATATCTAGAACAGCTGATGCACTAAAGTAATAGAATAAAAAAAAAAAGTAGAATATTACTGAAGAGGATAAAAAATCTAAAAGACCTATATATAGATCCAATATATAAAATATGAGAGCAGAAAAAATTATCAATATCTTTAAAAGATTTGGAACAGGAAGCTTTAAAAAAAAAAGGAGGAAAAGAAGTATATGAAAATAATTAAGAATTGGATATGTTATAGAGCTAAATGGTTTAATTTTTAATTGTAGATAGAATTTAGAATAATCTATAGTAATAACCTATAAGCAATAATTTTATTGACTAGAGGATTCATCCAAGTCAATAAAGGAGCAAAATATTATTTCCTAAGTTGCATCTAAAGAAACAATTTTTCAATGACAGGTGAGTTAATATGTGAAAGTCAAAATATCTTGTAAATATCTTTGTATATATACAATAAAGATATGCCATGCTAACCTGACTATAGATTTCTAATTTTTCTAGATTGGTTGTAGAAATTTAATTTAACCAGATACTTCCAGGTAACAAGCTACTTTATAGATTCATTAAAAGCTTGGGATTTAAGAAGCCTAGTGACATAAATGATATATAGATTATAGTGACAACCTTTGTAATCTCTGCAATTAATTTTTTACATTACTTTATCAAAGTCAATAAACATGGCTAAGCCTTTGTTCCAAAAAAAAAAAAAAAAAAGAACTATTTAAAAATGTCTATTTTATTTTTACAATTTTATGTAAATAAAATTTATTCCGCATGTATTTATGAGGGCGCATATTCATAACAACATTGTGTTACACTTCTCAAAAAAACGAAATACAGTAATCTTTAAAAGTTGTAAATCGATCCCACGTAATAATGAGTATACATCTATTCGGGACAAAACTCCAATGGCCTTAAAAACCTCAAAATCCTAGGTAATATATTGTTCAGTCTATCTCGAAGTGTTTCGTCATCAGTTTTCACCTCCTGTGATATAAATGCCACGAATGACGGTTTTTGTTAACAGATAGTAAGCAAAAGAATGAACACATATGTATATATAATCACCAAAGTGTTGATGTTCACTTCCGCGATGACCTTATCCACTTTAACAATAATTTCGTCGTCCGAATCTTGTTTGCCATATGCCTCGCCAAATTGGCGTTTTAAATATTCTTCGGCTGCCGCGCGCAACGACACCGATATTGGCTTAAGGGAAGAATCCGTAACCTCTTTTGAACTTTCCTCACCATCAATTTCCATTATCTTGTGGTCATCCTCTTCCGGAATGTGAGAATGATGATGTTGTTGTTTCGTAACTATTAAATTAAATGTTATTCGGTGCATTCATGCGTCGCCGGATATAATCACAAACCACTAGCATAATAATCCCACCTTTGACAGAAGCAGGGCTGCTCTCAATGTTCAATAATACCGCCAGTACCGAATCGGCAATCTTATCATTCATCGAGGTGCCCAACCATTCGAGTTGAACTTGACTCTTGCTGAGATGCCGAACCGCAATTGCATCCAGAATCTTTTTTTTGTAGATAAATGGAAAGTTCGGTAGGTTAGAAGTATGGAACCGAGAGGTTATCAAGACGATTGAATCATACCGTCAGAGTTGGAATGCTATCATTACTCAATGTTTCTTCAAGCAGCCCGTACATTTGCTCCAGGTGATACTTTAATAACGAAAAAGAAGAATGATATGCAATAGTTTGCTTTTGGATTATTGCGGATGTGGAGATACCACTAAAGTCTTTCAGGTCAACGGGATCCATTATGTTGAATTGGAAGTCTTTAGACACTATGATTCCAGAAACGAGCTGTTGTTCTGCGGGATATTTAGCAGCGAGTTTTCCTATTGTCTAGGTTTTAGTATAGATTTGGAAATAGATTACGTACAATTTCATGTTATCTTCCAAAGGTAACACGTTTAATTATTGATTACCTTTGCCAATTTTTCACCCCTAAAATGCAACTTTACTGTTTCGCAATTTTTCGGAGAATAGATCTTAATGTTTTCTTCGCGTTCAGTGTACTTGCTCTGCAAAGCGGATTTTAACCTGGCCATAGAGTTCGATTCACCATGAACAAGTACCTATTGATGATATACGAATCTATTGAGTATCGTCCTGCCATATTTGATGTAGACGTCAATAATACATACTACGTGAGGAGCTTTGATTTCGTCAATAAATTTGCTGTTTTGAGTGTAATCGACGTGGGCAGAGAAAGATATGTAGTCAACTTCCATGCGTAACGGAATTTTGGCACCCGATAGCGATGTAATTTCAGGGGGTTCATTCATGACATGCTTGCGATCAAAAGGTCAAATGAGATCACGTTGTAGAAAAGAACAATGATTTCACGGAAACTTATCAATTTAATCATTACCCTTGCCATGGTTCCATCAACACAATAACCCGCAATGACAAGGCCATTCCTCTTATCGGGACACCATCGTTCAAAGAGTTCCCGCGAAAGTCCACTCTGAAAAAGATACCAATACACGTGGTCCTAATATCAAATTAAGGAGGAAAAAGGGGAGTTCAAGAATTCACCATACCTGCAACATACCAGGACTAGCCATCATCACACAAGGACCCACGTCGTCAAAATTATCCATATTCTTTAAGTTTGAAATGTGCTTGAAAACAAAAGGATTTGATATGGCGAACTGTTTGCGAATCTTGGCATTCATCATGTTGATGTATGTCTGATAGACTGCCATACATTTTTTTGCCAATGACGAGGCATAATAGATGGGCACCGATTCTAATTCAGGATGAGCTTCCCAATATTCATCGAGGATCAGAAGCAATTCTTGGGCGCGACCCAAAGCGAAAACGGGAATCAGGCAACGACCACCACGTTGTACGATTTTATGGACCAAGCCTGAATGAGACACACACTGTCAATATCAAACTCCAAATATCCGTATTTTATTTTTTTAAAAAATTAAGAGGAAATTCACCAGTAAATCTTGCCTCCTTCTCCAATCGAGGTTCGTGACTCTGAACGCCGTAAGTAGATTCGGTGATCAACACATCGGCCTGAACTGGTGGTAACTCTGCCGCCATCAGATGCCTATCCTCCTCCCTTGAATAATCGCCAGTGTACAAAATCTAGCATGTTACGCAAAAAATCTCATTAGTTAGGTGGACACTTATCATACGTATAACATCAAATTTGGCGCAAAACACTATCAAATAAATACCTTTACTCCAGCGATCTCGATCAAAAACATGGCTGCTCCTAGAACATGACCAGCATTATAACTCGTAAACTTTATACCCTCAACTTCAACCTCCTGGTGATAGTCCACCGCCTCTATCTTGTCATAGCTGCGCAATAGATCTTGTTCGTCGTAAAGTAATTCGTCTAATGCAACGTTACTATTTTTTTGAAGATCAGTCGTTGCTATGAATTAACAAAGTTCAAGCAAGGGTCATCCTTTGAGAATTTACCTGACTCTCACGTAATCCGATAGCAGCCATTTGTAGATGGCCTTTGTTGGATGGGTCATAAACACGCGTCCTTGAAAGGTCGTCTGGGAAATTAACGCAATCGATGTGTTTACTACACGCATATCAAACAATAACGGACCATGAATATGAAAGGACAGACCTTTTCCAGGAAGTATGGTAACGAGGCGGCATGATCTAGGTGAAAGCTATACGAATTTCCAATTATCCAGAGAAAATTATTTGATGCAAAAATTTTTTTAAGGATTCAATGTTTTTTTTTAAACCAAAAGAAGGGTTGAACACTGATAAACGAGCGATAATGAAACATACTGACTAATAAGCAAAACGTCAACTGTTGCAGGATCAATTTCATCATAAAACGGAAGTGCAGCAAGGCCAGTATATGCAGGGTGGACACCCGCATCAAGCTAATGGAAATTGCAAAGTATAACTTTATTTATTCTTTTTTCTTTACATGAAAATGTTATACAGAAAAGACTAATCTTTTGCTTCCAACTTTTTTATTTCTCAGTATTGTATGAAACCATTTAATACCATTACAGTCTTGCCTTTGTATTGGATCACTAAACAAGATCTCCCAACTTCATTACCGGCACCCAAAGCCGTGATGTGCAAAAGGTCATTTTCGTCGACAGCTGTAAAATCAAATTCTTTCCGTTGTAGAGCCATCTGAAACGAGAAAAACCAGACTATACTAAATCTAATATACTTTCAAGTTCGCGCGAGCTGTCGAACGGGAGAATGACTTATTACATTGACGTACAAATCGATCCTCGTTATTAAGTCATAGAGTCACGTGATATCACCGCAGCTAGCGACTGCGGTCATATTTTATATACAGTATACAATTTTTTTTTACATAACCAAATTTTACAGAAAATATTTCCCTAACATTCATAGTCAGGATTATTATTGGAATGATATTATATCGAGTTCATTCCCAGGACTCTTGACGTTCATCCGTCGCATCTTCGCTTATGTCCGTCAAGTCTTTTATGGTACTGGTAGAATCCTTGGCCAAAGAGCTAAGATGATCATATGATGAAGTAGGATCTAAATAGCCGGACGCGACTTTCAGAGGATCGGAAATCGGATGCAATGAAGGCGAAGAATGATCGGTTGATTTTGAGGAAGGCGTTGGAGAAACGTTGACACTTTCAGGAATTGTTACTTGAATTTTATGTGTGGAATCCATTTTCTTTGATCGAAAGACGGTCGGTTGCGTTTCTTTTAAATAACAAATTCACTGCGCATTACGTCAATATTATGTAATTATGAGAAGGAAATGACGAAATTATTATGGAAATATTATATGTGCACCAGACAACTCATCGTTTTTTATAAGGAACATGGTAAAAATTGAAATTTTCACAATACAGTATATTTTAAAGAGTCACCTCATTAAATAAAGTGTTGCCTGATCTTCTTATCTTTTACACGTGATTTGAAAGTCGGAATTAGTTACGAAAGAATATTATACATCTATTGTTAGATTTCTCATGGATCAGCTATTAAACAATGGCTGCGACAGAATTGAGGTGACAGATTAAAATAGTAAGGTCTTCCACCATATTCACGATAATAGTGAACAATGAGAATAAACTGTTTCAGTTTTTATTCTCCGATAACTATTTTTACATCATATGTTATACACATGGCTTCCTCGGATAAGGCATTTTTTCCATTTTGCATATTATAACACGAACATACTTTTTCTGGATGAAAAGAAAAAAAAATCGGTGATCTATAAGATCATATTGAAGGGTGCATAGCCGACTGTTAAAGAAAGGGAACGATGCATTCCCGTAATTACCGAAGGCCACTTCCGCATGTCGCATTTCACTTTCGTATTTATTCATCACATTCTACATTCTCACAGAAAGGATAACTTTCACTTCTAAAATTTTGTTCATTCTTTATCTCTTTGTTTCTGATTTTCAACTTTGTTTGTGTTTTTGATTCAATATTTTCTTCAATCGAATTCTTTATATAAATTTTTTTTTAATAAATTCTAATTCAGTATTACTATTTGAATTATTAGAATCTTATCTTTTGGATTCTGGAATTGTTGTTCCTTCTAATTTATATATATTTGATATATTAGTATCATCTTTTTGTACTTATATAGCAACTTTCACGATTATTATAATAACTATTTATTACTTTTTTTCTTATTTTTTTAAGTATTTCTTTTAAGTTTCCTGAATTGATTCTATTTTTATTTTTTCTTTATTGCTATTAACTTTAATTTCTTTTTTTTTTTATATTATTTTAAATATCTTTTAATATTTATTGTTTTCTTTTATTGCTTTATCTACTTTTTTTATTTGTTTTATTATTATTTTTTTTTATACTATTCTATTATATATATATATATTTATATATTTTTTATACTTTCTTAATAGAATTGGATTAATCACTATTTATCAAAATTATTATTAACAATTTGTCACTATTAATTGATTCGAAAATCAATAAATTGCTAAGTTAAGAGGAAATAAAAAAAATAATTGAATAAGGAAACAATTCTAAGTTTATCAAAATGGTTCAAAAATTAAAATAACTTTTTTTAAAAAAATATTTACTTAATTGAAATAAATATTCTTCTTATTTCACTTAAATTTTAAAATAAAAATTTTTTATTACTATATATAGAATCAAACAAGTTAATTTAACTAGTTTTTTATTTAATAAGTATTAAATTTAAATATCTTAAAAAAAGTATTTAAACCTTGATTTATTTTTTTTTAAAATGAAAGCTCAGCCATATTTATTAACTTTGATAAAATAATATATAAATTAATGCAAAAATTACAAAGATTATTATGTGATGTCATAAATTAATTATGTCACTAAACTCTCTAAAACCTAATCTTTAATAGATTTACTAAATAACTTATTATCTAAAAATATTCAGTTGGATTAAATTTTTACTATTAAATTATTTAGAAAAAAACTAGATATTCTTATTTGAATTTTTAATTCTTCCAAATTTCTCACAACTAATTTGTCATAATTTATTTGTTAATTTTTTAAAAGGATAAGTACATTTTTCTTGTAATCTTGATAATTAACATTAGGAAATTTTTTAGACGAAGATCTCCAGAGATCTTTGGGCGTAAATCTCTGAAGGACTTCTGGCATTGTTAGAAGTCTCCGGAGTAACAGTTATATATATAATTCTAAAGATAATCAAAAAAATTTTCAAAAATCTTTGGAGATTATATTTATATAATCTCCAGAGATTATCGAAAAATTTTAAATATGATAAAATACATATACATTAAATTATATATAAATTTTATTAAAAATTTTATTCAAATAATTATTTATATTT